TCGAGGGTTAAATGATTAACAGAGTTGTTTAAACTAATGTCTTGGAACAAAGAGTCCTTCCTTGTCATTCGTTTATTTTACAACAGTAATTCGAGGGTTAAATGATTAACAGAGTTGTTTAAACTAATGTCTTGGAACAAAGATTGATTCCTTATTATTCGTTTATTTTACAACAGTAATTCGAGGGTTAAATGATTAACAGAGATGTTTAAACTAATGTCTTGGAACAAAGATTGATTCCTTATTATTCGTTTATTTTACAACAGTAATTCGAGGGTTAAATGATTAACAGAGTTGTTTAAACTAATGCCTTGGAACAAAGAGTCCTTCCTTATTATTCGTTTATTTTACAACAGTAATTCGAGGGCTAAATTATTAACAGAGTTGTTTAAACTAATGTCTTGGAACAAAGAGTCCTTCCTTATTATTCGTTTATTTTACAACAGTAATTCGAGGGTTAAATGATTAACAGAGTTGTTTAAACTAATGTCTTGGAACAAAGAGTGCTTCCTTATCATTCGTTTATTTTACAAAAGTAAAACGTTTTGCCTTGAAGAGATTGCTGTTTTTCCACATAGTAACCTTAGTAGGAGAAGCCAGAAAACGTTCTTTAATTTATCATAATGTAAAATTTAGCAGATGTATTAGTATTTTCTGTTAGAACGTTTAAATGCCAATACAAGTCTATAAAGAGCCATGAACTCCTAGATTACAGATATCGTAACTAGTTTGTAATGCATAATCTGTTCTATAAGGCAGTTTTAGTCATTCTATGGTAACTCTTAAATCTATAAAACATCATAAAATTTAGTTTTCAAACTGTAGAACATCCTCTTTTTTAGACTAAAAAAAACGTATTAAATGCGAAGATTTGACATAGCAGACAAGTGTTATAGTAGTTCATAAGATAGTACTTCTGCTTCATTTCAAATCCTATAACATTGTTTAAGACTTCAATGATGTTTAGTCATATTTTTGTAATAATAAACACCTATCGTTTAATCATCGAATATACGTTATCGAAGTCTCTTATTCTGGCTTCAGTTATATATATTACAATAAGCAATGAATTTGATTATCGTAGAATATGCAAAATTTGAAAAATATGTGAATTTTGTAATGTAATTCATAAGTCTTACACATCAATTTCCACATCCCGTTCATTATTTATGAGAAATACTTTGTTAAAACTTTACTTCTAGTGTGTTTTATACTATAATATAATAGAAGTATATTACTTCTACTTTGTAATATATTACTCACATTTTCATCTTCTTTGGTATATGTTCGTCATCAGGTTTTTGTTGTAAATAAAGTTTTAATTTACTTCTTGTGACATCTGTAAAAAAAAAAAAAGAGTAATATTTTCAGTTTTCTAGAACCGTACGATATTTTTTATTTGTTTGCGATAATGTCTAATGAAATGTTTCTTAATTCAAAATGTTGTAGAGCTCTGTATTTAAAATCTAGTTAGCTGGGTTTGAATCCGTACAATACCACAAAATATTCCCTACACATTAAGTTGTGAGTGCTCTATAAGAGTAACAGTCAATCCTTTAGCGTGGATGGTGGGTGGTAGAGTCCTGTTTACTTGCTGCCTGCCCTCTGGTCACTAGTTCAGAATTAGGAACGGTGTCAGGTAGCCTTAAATACGCAATAGAAATGCAAGTACTTAACTCACTTGAAAACATACGTGGAAAAGTTTGTTTTGTCATTGCTGCATCATTATTAATCATAGCGCTTTCTATGAAATCTTCTACCAGCTGTATTTCGATTCTTACAAACTAAGTTGATGTTCGTATCTAAAATCTTTGGTTCTTAACTCCTTAGCTAAAGAAACTTACATAATAACAATACAGATTGAACTAAGACATCTAATTGGTTGAAGTGACTTACCCAAGATGGCATAATTTTGTGGACTAACAAAAATTCATAAAGGTTAGTCTCATAGGAGTTACTAATGTTAGCGTGAAGACATAACCTTACCATCTGAGGGTGTTGACGTCATTAAGCCACTCAAATCGGAAACCGGTCGTTGTGTCTCTCTTGGCTGTCTTGGGTCATTAAGCGAGAAGTACTAACTACACGTTGTAATTTAATGACCAGTTTCAGAGAACTTAAATCATCATGTCCAGTAATAGAAGACAACTTGTACGTGTTGTATAAGAGGAAGACGTGCTCCTTATTGGTGTTCATTAAGTCCTCTACATACTTTCCACTGGTAGATAACAGTCTATGGACAGAGGGAATGAAAACTATAGGAAGTTGGAGTAGAGATAAAAAATTTACATGACAAGAATACCATCAACTGAATCGCTTGTTTTTGAGCGAAGTTTAGACTGAAAACCCGATTTAACGATTTAATAGATAGAAGCCAAGATTCTCACTCAGATGCAAATACGTCATATTTATTTTTTCGCTCATATAATCGAAGTTTTTAACGGTTTGCATCATAAAAAACTGCTACAACCGTTCTACGTGTCTGTAAGAAATTATTTTATAGCTATACTAAAACTAAATCGAGCACGAAAGTCACGTAGTATCATGATTCTACATCATCCGCCCCCAAGTGGCACAGCCGTATGTCTGCGGACTTACAACGCTAGAATCCGTGTTTCGAGACCCGTGGTGGGCAGAGCACAGATAGCCCATTGTGTAGCTTTGTGTTTAATTAGAAACAAACTACACCATCCACGAGAAAACAACCTCACGTTAAAATGTATAGGTAATTATACAGACAGAATACTTTAAATATTTCATACATACATGTATGGAGTATGCCGAAAGCTGTATGTTGCATTTCGCAAAAGAAGAGCAAACTCTAGACACTCTGTACCTCTCTATTTTGTCTACTAATAGAAGCGAGCAGTTAATTACACCATCGGGACAACACGGTCGACGGACCTAATGAACACGAACAGTTTTCTTTCCTCTATGTTTAATTATACAAGACAACCGTGACTTTCCGCATTCAAAGTCACTTATTAGATTGGAAAGTGCATTAAAATTTTTATCGTAAGTGATATTAGGCTTGTGCCAATATTTCAGTAGCAGTAAACCCATATGTGTCAGAATCTTTACGTACTGGTTCATATATAACGACGTGGTTATAGTAGTTTAATAAAACAGAGTCGTATAGCTGTCACTGTTGTGATGTGAAATTGAACGTCATGTTCTAGGAAGAGAAACGAAGTAAAAACAACTTATCGATGAATAATATTTAAAAGTGCCTTGTCTAAATGGACCTTTCTCTCTTGAATGTGAATAGACCAAAGCAAGATAAACAGTTACTTGATTTTTAACTTGATATGCACATTGAAAACATGAGAATGTTATGCACACCTTTCACACTTCAAGTAATTGCTGTAAATATACAACACTTTTATCCGTTACGTTAGCACAGAGACAACTCCAAGAAAAAATGTTTACTTCAACAGATCTTCTTTTTTTTCAGTTATGTTTAACATAAATTTTGTTTCAGAATTTTCGCGCAAAACTACAGAAGTGATATCTGCGCATAGCCGCCGTTAATTTTGAACCGGCATAATAGAGAGAAGGCACCTAGTGAACAGCACCCAACGTCAAATCTTCAGCTACTCTTGTCTCAGTGTGATATGACCGTCACTCTTATAGCGCACCCACAACCCCAAAGTGTGGAATGCCTTTTAGCGATAATGGGTCATGAACCATGAACTTTCGGGTTCACATTCCACACATGTTACTCACTAGGCCACGACCTGTAACATTATCATCGTAACGTAAATATAGTTGTAACAAATATCTTTGGTCTTAACTCCAATTCCTTCTTAACAATCAACAGTTCTTTGTCGATTTGTGACAAAATAATTATTCTGAACTTTGAAATCAGTTGTTTTCGTCTTTCAGTTTGTATAGTATCACTCACTAAGTACGGTGTGTAAGAATGGGCCGAGAAAAAAAAATGGCTGCCACATTCAATCTATTAATTAAAGATATTTTATGTTGCTGTTTTTTATTTCATATTATTTTTCATACGTGAAATTTAAAAGAACAACGTTTGTAAACAAGGATTAACTGTTATGAACCATATGCTAGTACGGTCAACAGATGGCGCTAATTTAGATGTTGAAATACTAATTTATGCTTCGTCTCATAATTAGAAATGTTAATTAAATTTAACTGGATGAAGTTTTTGACATTGAATTTTTAAAATATTGTTTAATTTTTCTAAAAAATATTATTAAATCAATGCTTGTTTGAAGGCTGAATTTTAGTATTTTAAACTCAAATGATTAGTAATATTACCACAACTTTTTCAGAGGAACACTGTTATATCGTCAAAAAAGTCTGGTCATACAAGAATCGAGACTTATGTTAATTAATCATTCTTCTTTCAAAACATATATATATTATTCTTTAAGCATTTAAAGCTGGTATCATTTGTTGCCCAAATGGAAATGCCATTCATCTTATTTCCAGTTGTTGTGTATTTCATTTTACTTATTTTTCTTATGTACTGAAACAAAAAAAAAGCAAAATAATAAAATAACTAGAAATTATCACATAATAGAGCATATATAGATATCACAATGATCACTAGATGTTACCATATACGCGATACTAAGCCAGTTAATGCAATATTTAATATTTAAAGAAATGATAACTAACATTGTTTGTTCTGACAAATCTTTTATGCTAAATTTTATACTATTAATAAAAACAACAACTACATAACCAACACAGAACCGACATTATTCATTATAAACAGAGTTCAACGTAAGAGGGGGTGTTCATAAAATAAAAGAGTGAACTTCTTTTCTATCCACTGGAAACTGAGAATTTGAGACAGAAAGCTCTTCCTAATTTGTAAAGAAAATCAGATTAGTGTTATATAGTTTCCGTCTTTTCTTTCTTTTTGGTACTCTCAAGGACGGTCTGATCGTGCAACACTTTCAGCCATCTTAAGTTCACCAAGCAGCTGTTTTACCTAACACCTCACGACCATCTGTGCACGTTTTTTTTTTCTTTTTTGTGCTGGTATAATTAGCGTATAGGAAACGGAAATCTGTCTCTCTCAACACCACCTCGTAGAAGTAATGTTTTTCTTTACTTTATTACCTTCACTTATTAAGGCTTGCGATGGTCAAATTCACTTGTTCTTTTGTGGCATCGTGTATTTATTTATGTATGTGAAATGTGATATATTTTAAATCCAAGGAAAAAGAAATATTGGATATGCACGTGTATGTATGTTTATTGTTTTTTCTTTAATGTTTACACTTTTATAAAAGCATTGATAGATGAGTAGTAAAAATATTATCCGGCTTTATACGAATCGCAATCTAGAATAATGTTTCAGAACTTTCAACATCTCGTAAGGAAAATTATGACGTTTACAAATATAATACTTACTAATGGATATGTGCAATAAACTTTATCATGAAGATTTAAATTTAAAAACAGGCTTATTTTTTACATTTTGATAGTTATTCCATGTTTGTGTTAGTATAAGACACAAAGTATGCACTGAAATGAATTATAATTATGTTAAATTATATAGCAAATCCATAGCTCACGTCATCACTTGAAAGTAAACGGTTGGGTGGGCCTTCAATTAATTACAGTAGGATCACTTTTAAAGATTAGTAAACAGGTAAATTTTCATTCAGCTGAAGTTTGATTAATATTCATGCGTTGAAGGTATATAAAATTTATAACACACATATATGCATAACCAGAGAGAGCGACATATACATGGTATTAGGGAGCAGTCAGCAAGAAAGTATTATAGTGCCAGAAAATGACGTATTCGTTTTAGTTGAAAGTCTTTAAAGATTTTCACATATTCTACGAAATATTTTCCTGATATCAATCCTAGAGAAACAATGTTTTAACAAATGCAACTATAATTATCTTTCTATAGTGAAAAAGTACTAAGGCTCACGATGGTCTAATCCCCTGTTCTTGTGCGGCATTGTGTATTTAATTATCTAAGTGAAACTTGATATATTTTGAATCCAAGAAAAAAGAAAGACTGTATGCACGTGATATTCGTAGAATCAGTATAATCTTGATAACAACTGAAGTTATCCCAAAAATTAATCAAACAAGAACTTAATCTCATATTAACTTGATGAAAACAAAACCCATTCAGATTATTCATGACTAAATTATAATTTATTTTATACAGTGTGTTTATGTTTATCTTGTTGCTTAGGTAGAAACCTAATTTTCAGTCTGATAGTTTTATTGTCTGCCTCACATGTGGTGTACGTATATAAGCCATAAAATAAGACTTTTTAAGCGATCGTATTGAAACTAAAAATAAAAAACAAAAGTTATATGTCCAGTTTATCTTTGTATATATATATATATATATCTTCAAACTAGATAATATTTCACAAACACAAACAGATCACGCTCGTGACAGTAACGTTATCATATTAACGTGACGAACACTAGCAGCAGTTAAAGCACCACAACGTACTAAGTTATGTACATTTTTAACATATAGATTCTCTATTATATAGTTATCTAACATCATTTCTCAATTTGTTCCTCTAAATACCTGTACTGTCTAACCATCTGTATTTTATCCAACACTGATGTAATAATTAATATTGATGACACTTTTGTCTCTGTTGCCGATGTAAAAAAAATCATTTGATCACTAATGAGATTTTGTGCTCGAGTATTAGCAGAATAATGTTGAATGTTGTGTGTTTTAAATTGTTTTGAGCTTCGCACATTTTCATTACATAAAAGTGTGTTTCAGGACATAAAAATTATTTTTAGTGTTGTTCGGATTTTTTTCTATACTTTTCATATATTAGAACTGGTTTTCTTCTGTGCTAGAATCACCGGAAGACGAAGAGAAGGATTTGTCAGACATGCTGGTATATAGCGATTGGTCTTCCATTCCGTGTAGATTCAGTTTCAGCTTTCTCTTTGAATGTTCCTGAACACCACAGGCATTGTCTTCGGATAAAGCATTGTATTTTCTAAAGTAATTGTTCTTTGCCTGCCTCTTTTGACCTCTTAGAGAGAATAATTGGTGAAGACTCCTAAGATTATCCCGTTTTGTGGACTCCAAATACTTTACACGTATTTTTGAATTCGAATCTTCCTCCTGGAGTATAATGTCCTCACTTTGACACTGAAAGATATCATCTGAAGGAAGACGTAAGGTTGGTGAATTGGAAGTGCTCGACGTTTTCGTATCTTCATTGCTTCCAAGATTAAAACTAACTCCAAGCGAGTCGGAACTGTTAGCTTTCGGTCCAAGAATTGTCAACTCACTGTGATTTACATTCAGATCTTCAGAATCCGAGCTACTCCGTAAAAGCTTGGATGCTGAGATAGATCGTCTAATTTCCATCATATTAGTTTCTCTCGTTTCGGGAATAGAGAAACTAGACGATGACATTGTAATATGTAATGAGTACTTTGGAGTCACTTCATCACGTGACATTCGTCTTTCATATTGAGATTTTGTGGGATGTAGCATCGGAGACTGGCGTGGGGAATTTTGTGGGGACGGAGAGTTCATTTGGTATAGATAGATTTGATTCAGAGGGATCCCACCGTTTATCAGTTTATCTCGAGCGAATGTGAGAACATCCATAATCCAGCGTACTCCTTTCCAGATATTGTCAACTTGAGTCTGGAACAGTTGGAGTTGCAATAATCTTTCTTTGGCTGCAGCTACTTCAGATGAAGAGAAAGCCTACAACAGAAAACTCAAAATATTTAACTTTGAAAATCATCTCAAAACTGTTACTATTGAAATCATCGCAAAATGGTTACTCTGAAAATCATCTCAAAACTGTTACTATCAAAATCATTGCAAAATGGTTACTATCAGAATCATCTCAAAACTGTTACTATTGAAATCATCTCAAAACTGTTACTATTGAAATCATCGCAAAACGGTTACTATCAAAATCATATCAAAACGGTTACTACTGAAATCAAAACAAAACGGTTACTGTTGAAATCGTCGCAGAACGTTTCGGAGGTAAATAATCTCAAATCTGTTACTACGCAAACCATTCCAATCCAATTTTGTAACTATTTTTTATCTAACTCATTCTAAATCTCTATGAAATCACCCAAAAGATGTTAGTATATAAATCATCTAAAACCTTTCACTATGTAGAGCATTATATTATAGTCTAATTATATTGCAAAATATATATTTTCAGCGAATTCTTTGCATTTGACAACGTATATCTATTTATACAATTAATTTATAAAAAAGGTAAATATTAAGTATGATGTAAGGATGGCAATGCTAAAAAGTATAGAAAAAAGGTAAGGATGAATATACAAAACCATACAGAAATCCCTACATAAGTAGTCAGTAAGTACTGAGTCAATCTTACAAGCTTATGGTTATTAGCCACTGTAAGACTGTATAGCACTATTCAGTTTAAATGTTTTTATCCAAACCTGAATTCATGCAGCTGACAGAAATTCAACATTTAGTTGTAGTTAAACTTATTCTTGGAAAGATTTGGCTAATTATGTAGTGATTTTTGTATGGTTTTGTGTATTTATCTCTACCTTGTTTCTGTACTTTTGGCATTGCCATCCCTATATCATACTCAATTTTTGCATTTTTTTATTATTTGTTTACCCTCTTTAACAAAAATCATTGAAGTAGGTTGATAAGTGAACATTTGTTTTATTTTTATAAAACACTGGTAATATATATTGTTAACATCATATCAGTTTTGTCAGTTTCTTCATTACACTTGTAGAATGACCTCAGATATTGATATTATACCATACAATTGGCTACAATAGATTATTAATCATCATTGGTCATAATCTTGACTTCTTGGGACTTAACGTTGAGGAACTTAGAGTTAGGAAAAACACACGAAAAAATGTATCTATATTCATGTTTGCATTCTTTTTGGCGCTGCCATCCCTACATCATTTTACATTTACAAAATGTTTCTTATTACTTGTTTTGTGACGTTTTTTCTCCTGACTAAAAGTTAGTGTATTCAATGAATGTGTGTAATGAAATTTAATATTATGTGTATTGATTTTTTTTTTTACTTCTTCACTTCATACATAATATAGGGGTTGGCTCCTTAAAGACACCGATTGTATAGCCTACAAAGCACTGGATATTCTACATGTTACAGTCATCTGATATTCATATATTTTTGGCTGGTAATTCTTGTTTCACACTGTACTTAAGCTTTTTAAAGGAACACCAAATTTCTGTAAAAAAGTAGCTAACTTCAAGATGTAATGATAACATCGTTTACACGAGAACTATGATATTTTTTATCTTATACTAAGCACTAACATGCTTAGTGATAGCCTATTCCCAAGTATTATTAAAATGCTTTTCTGTCGTATTTTCTGGCTAGCGTGGAAAAAGAAAAAGAAAGATGAACACGTTGGCTCTTTAGCTAGTTCCCAGTTCTCCATTTTAGCAACACTTTTCAATGATACTGCGAGTCTCACAAGCTGTGAAACGTTCGATAATGACAATTAGGTGCTCAAATAAGGCTATAACTCAACTTTAGCAGTTATTTGTAAGCATAATAGAGTAATAAAACAACGTACTCACAGATAATTATAATCTTAAGGTAAATGTGCAATTAATTATTATTCTATAAATGCCTGTTTTTCTGGAATTAGAAGGTTAATACAAAGTATATATAATCAGCAGAACTTGTATAAATTTTGTATATATCAAAATGTTTGATGTGTTGTTTTTTATTATAGACAATTGCAGAGAGTTATGAAGGTAAAGTATTAATTAAAAAGATAGTTTTTATTTGGTTATTTGTTTATCGAAATACATACAGTAATACCAGCTAAATCTAAAAATTAGATATGCTACAATTCATATAAACTTTGTAATTTATCACGTTTTTCAAATGTTATGTTTTTGTAAGAAAAATCTGGTTTTGTTTATAATCTTCAGAAATATTTTTCATTGAATAAAAGCTTTTTTTTTTATTTGAAAGTGAGTATATTTATTTGTAATATTTATATTTATATACATGTATTCCAGAAAACATCTACATCGAATATACTCGGTATTATTCAAACTTTGAAGTTTTAAAAAGTTGTCAAAAAATGGCGACACATTTTAAGGTTTAAAATGTTAAAATATTTGCTTTTGCTTAATCGCAAACAATAAAATAGGCTATTTGCAGGTATCGAGCCCCGATTTTTAGCGTTATAAGCCCACAAGCTTACCGCTGAACCACTGGGGTGGTAAAGGTATTATAGATAAATAATAATTCGGAAATAAAAAGAAACACTGACTACTGATCAAATGAGATTTATTATTGAGCACTGTTAAAAATTTAATTAGTCATAAGAGATCTCGAACAATGTAATGTTGCTTTTGTGTCACAACTTCTTTGTTCAACTTAACTGGGAATACGTTGTGGTACATTCAACTATAATTATTTTTATTAGAAAAAAAAATGTTCGTCAATTTGTCATTCAAATTAATATGCCTCATCAAATTTCTTCTGTTATTCTGCCATTGATAAAAGAAACAAACAACATGTAATGTCGTTTTTAAGATTTTTTGATTATCTATAAAAAATTGTCAACTACAATTCTAATAATAAGTGTAAAAATGAACTCATTTCTAGAATATTAGATGTATTAGAGACCATGGAACAGGCCTAACTCATGTATATTTACTAATCAAGACACACGGTTGTATGTTGTGCGGCCAAACAACCTGTTGCAGGACACACTGTGTGTTATAACAGGAATGATAGTTTAGCGATTTTCCACCTTCTTTATCTCGGACTGTGCAAATCCAAACTACCCCATATATTCAGTTGATGTACTATACTGGGCTCTTACTTCACATACCAAATTTCAAAGCAACCAGTTAAGAAATACCTGAGATATAACATCTCGAATTTTGATTGATTTTATTCGCACCAAAAGTACGAAAACTTTATTCGACAGAAAAACATTACTTATCTTTTATGGATTTGTTTTTCAAATTTGGTACACTAATAAATCTTTTCAATCTACAATTAGGAGTCTCATTTTGTGTAAATATAAGCCATATGAACAAAGTTATTCAACAAAAATCGCTCAAATGTGGCTAATACTTTTGCGCACGCCTACACAAAAGATCGCGTGAAAAATCGGCCTAACATTTTTATTACAGCTTCCTCTAAGAGTAAAAGTGGACCGTATTTAGTTTTTTTACATTCGGATTAAAGACAGCTGGTGTACAGCAGCAAAACTATAATGAATGGACGTGCAGATACATAAGTATTAATTAGGCCAAGCAAACTAGATTAGCAGTTTCTAGTTCAAGTTTTCAAAAGAATCATACTGGTGGATGGTTATTGTTGAGTATTCATTGCCAATTTTTCAGCACAGATTTACTAAATTTTATGAAATTGTCATCATTAAAGAGCGTCTAGCGTCACGTGATATGAGCTTAAGTAATTACCATAAATAATGATGCTTGATATGGCTGTACCGACTGCATGGGGGAGAAGACAAAAAACTGTTAATTAAAATTCCATCGCGTTGCTATAAAGTAAGCTGATGACACTGATTTAGAGAGGAAAAACTATCACCATATATTTTAAAGAATCTGGTTAGTTCTGTAAAGTAAAGGTCTGTTCCGAGTAATAGGGTTGTCAGCCTAAAGCTAATGTGAGTTAATATCGAATATCACTTTCTTACTTGCTGTGGTTTGTTGGTGTGTATTGACAAAAAGTCATGATATCTAATCAAAAACACCTTAGGTGTGAAAAAAGGGGAAGCCAAAAAAATGATTGAGTGTGCAACTTAAAGGAATGAAATCAAAATTGGCAGCCAAACTGGTAGCTATACTTATAGCAATGATAATAATCTTACAGCAAATATTCATACATTAGTTAGTTATTTTGTTGGATATTTTGTTTTACCCATCATCATGCCCCATGTTGAACAAAAAACGCGGCCTAGCTCACTAATGAATGAATATTTGCTGTAAAATTGTTATTAATGCTATAAGTGTAAGTACCAGTTTGATCGCTGTTTTTGATTTCATTTGTTTAAGTCGTATACTCAGTCCCCTTTTGGGCTGCACCTTTATTTCACACCTTAGGTGTTTTTGATTAGATACAGTATTATGTGAATAAATCAAACCTAAACTTTTCCAGTTTTTGAACTATCCTTTGCAAGAAAAAATAAACAAAACAAAATTAAAAAGAAGTTAAACAATATAGGTTGTTCTTAAACTAATGTAACCTGACTAGGACTGTGCTACAGATATTATTAAATCAATTATTTAGTGTGATTGGGAAATTGCTTTGTAATAACGACTGGGCACTCTGTTCGATTATCAATAAATTAATATAAATTATCAGATTTTTAATTAATTAATAATTTATCTGCTACGATTACGAAGCGAAGTATTATTTCAGTAACAGGAAAATTATTCTGTCAGTTTCGAACCACATTTCTTTCCATAAACTTTCATTCACTGAGAACAGAACTTTTGGTATTAATAAGCATTAAAAACTTTGAAATCATTTAACTTGGTAACACCAGCCTGTGCCTGTTAATCCTTATCATGTTAAAACCAGTCTGTGCTTGTTAATCTCTATCAGGTTGACGTGTTAAACTATGTCACCTTCACACTAGGCTGTGCTCGATGGTCTTAATCGTATTAACACCAGGAAAAGGATGCTAACCTTTATCATATTAAACCAAGGTTATGCTAGTAGCCTTTATCGTGCCAACATCAGACTGTGTTTGTTAACCTTTATCATCTTCACAGCAGGCTGTGCTTGCTTGTGTTAATCATGTTAACACCAGGTTATGTTTAACATGTTAACACCAAATTATGTATGCTAGCCTTTATAATGTTAAAACAAGGCTGTGCTTGTTGGTCTTAATGATGTTAATACCAGATTATGCTTGCTGGTCTTAATCATGCTAATACAAGGCTATGTTGACTAGGCTTTATCATGTTAATACCATACTGTGTTTGTTAACCGTTGTCATCTTCACAGCAGACTGTGCTTACTTGTCTTAATCATATTAACATCAGACTGTGCTTACTGGTCTTAATTAGGTTAATACGAAGTTATTTTTGCTGACTTTTATCATGTTAACACCAAGCTGTGCTTGCTAGCCTTTATCATCTTCACTGCAGGCTGTGCTTTCTTCTCTTAATCACATTAACACCAGACTGTGCTTACTAGTGTTAATCAGGTTAATACGAGGCTCTTTTTACTGGCCATTATCGTGTTAACACCGAGCTGTTATTACTAGCCTTTATCATGTTAACATAAGGTTGTGCTTGCTGGCCGTTATCATGTTAACATCAGTCTATATTTGTGAGCTTTTATCGTGTTAAAAACAGGCAATAATTGATAAATACGTGTGACTATTATCAGAAAGTGCGCTAGCACTCTCTATGTAGGGCTAGCAAGGACGCTCGTATTAGAGCAATACAAAAGACATCTATATTTTCATCATTAGGTCAGAAGTGAAGAGCTACCTGACATAGTCGCTCTATCTCCGATGTATATGCCGCTTTTCAGCTATCCAGAGCGTACCAAAGTCTAAAACCGACGAATAGCCAAAATCGAAATTTCATATTTTCGTTAATCATCATCTTTCTTCAACAGACCTAGCGCCTATCTAGTTCTAGCAATAACTATAATTTTATCATCATTTCATAGAGGTAAACACACGATCTTTGACTACCTATTTTATTATTATTCTATGCAAAATTTATAAAGCTTTAGAAAACACTCTATAACCTAGTAACCCACGTACACCACCTTATAAAAAAGTAAACAAACAAGTATTAGGAAAATAATTTATCACTAAATAAAAAAGTTATGTAGGCCTAGCTACTGAACTTGAGAAGAAGAAACTAAACAAGATAGGGATGGAAGTGGACATATCACTTGATCCAGCTAATGATCACACAGCAAACTAAGCTGCCTCGACTATACTAAATTACTGGCTTCTTTACTGGCAAAACAAATAGAACCATAATTTCTAGTCGTAAAATGTTACTATACCATAAAATAGTCATAAAAGCAGTGTTTTAAAGTTAACTAAAGAAAAAGTATAACGATGAAAGCTGAGATTCTATTGAAACACCAAGCTTTCGATAAACAAAATGGGGAAGTCAGTAATGTAAGGATGTTATTCTCGGTGTGATCATTAGCCGGATCAAGTGATATGTCCACTTTCATCCTTACATATTTTTTTTTTGGTTTCGTTTTTCAAGTTCAGTTGCCAGCCCTGGAAAGCTTTTTGATATAGCGATATTTTTTCCCTAATACTAATAATATGTTAGTACAAGTAATAGGTCATTTAATCTTGACTTCTTGCGATCTTAGATATAGAGTTACCCAATGTTACTGATGGTGAGATAAAACGTGACATTTCGCTTCAAAATATTCACATCTATGCACATGAAGTGTTTATCTGAGCATATTAACAGACGTTTCTTTCTAGTGTGTAAATAAGCAACCCTCTTGTTACTTTGAAAAACCCTTATACTTGTGTATTTTATATGACTTAGGCTTACGTCGGTGGCAGTTGAGAATCACTGGTCACTTAGGTTTCAACTGGTGTAGGCCTAAGGTAGACATTACAGTTGTGTATGTTTAAGGGGAATGAAGGTGGTTAGAGCGCTAGACTCGCAATCTGAGGGTCACGGGTTCGAATCCCTGTCACA